GGCTATTCTAGTTGTCATTATTTTAATAACTATAAACTATTTATATACCACCATTATAGTATTAGCATGTTCGGACTTTGACTGTTCATTTAATTTTACTGGAAAGTTTTCAGATGTTTTTGCGTTACTCACTAACGTTTTTTTTTCTTTCACATTTTTAAGAGAAGTCTGGAACACAAACTCCTTCTGCTTTTCTGTAGCTTGGCAATTCTTTACTTCTGTTTCATTTTTAAAGCAGAGTTCTGCTAGATACATTATTCTAGATTGGTAGGGTTTTTTTCTTTCAACATATTGAAAATAATATCCTGTTCCTCCCTCCTGGCCTATAAGATTTCTGCAGAAATCTCTGCTGCTGGGTGTACTGAAACTCTCTTATGCTGTTTGCTTTCTGTCCTCATGCTGATTTTAACATCCAATCTGTCTTTAACTGTTTGACAGTTTGATTATGATAAATCTCAGGATGGTCTAAATTGATTTTAAGATGACTGAAGGTCTTTGGCTTTCTTCTGTCTACGTATTTATAGTTTTTCTTTAGGCATGAAAAATTCCACATTATCATTCAATTAAATAAGCTTTCACCCCCTTCTCCTTCTTCCCTCTTGCACATCAGAAGCTCACACTCCGGCTGTTTTGATTTTTGTCCCATGAATCCCAGAAGCTTTCTTTTTTACTTCTAATGATTTATCCCTGCTTGCTGATACATAGTTTCAAATAACCTACCTTTGAATACACAGATGTTTACTTCTGTTTGAAAAAATTTTCTGTTGATGCTATTTAAAAAAACTTGCTCATCCTATCTACCTCCAGAATTTCTGTCATTATTAGTTCACTCTTGTAATGTTTTCTCCTTCTTGTCACTTAATTTTCATACTCTATTAAGCTGTTTCTTATATTTTCTTGAAATTCACTGAGTTTCCTTTAAAAAAGATATTTTATTCTTTATCATGCAGTTCATACAGTTCCAGCTCTTGAGCATCAGTTGCTGGACTTACTTTGTCCATTCGTTAAGGCCACATTTCCCTGGTTACTTCTAGTTGTTGGACTGTACACTAATAGTGCTGCCCACTTTCAAGGCAGGTCTCCCCCTACCAGACTGGCTGCCCCACATGCCAGGCATCCCTGGAAGCACGTTCACAGGAAGCAAAAAGAGCACGTCATGAGTGTCCAAGAGGTTTCTCAATTCACTCCAGTTGACAATGAAGATTAGCAATCATGAGTTTCCAGGCAAAAACCCTGCCTTCACACCCTCCTCTTTCTCCCAGTTGGACAGAATCTACTCTGAAATGTGCTTCCTATTGGAGGAGAGTAGCGTGGATCGTGGGAAACCCTCCACACGCTTCAGTGTGCCTTTTCTCTATGCTGTGTTGTAACAAATGCTGCTGCCTTCCATCTGGTGTGCTCAGCTCTTTTGAAGATATTTTCATGCATAGATAGTTGTTCAAATTGATGTTTCGGGGGGGGCAATTGTTTGAGTATCCTATCGTGCTCTCTTAACTCACTGAATCCCTATGACAACCCAATAGCCTTAGTGTTATCATCTCTAAGTTACTATGAGAGAAACTGAGGCAAAGAGATTAGATAATTTGCCAAAGGGAAATATAGGGCTGGAACCCACAGTCTGGTCTCACATTCACATTCCTAAGACTGTTTTTCACTATGCGTCATTTCTCTAAGACCTCTCATCACTTTTACTTTTTAGCTACCTCTGTCTTACTCACAAAACACTAATAATGTAGAATTACATAATCTCCGGATGATAACAAGGACACGAATGTGTACCTTGCTATGACATTTTGGAAAATCTTTTTCGCTGACGGTATCACATTTAATCTTTGAAACACTTCATAGTTTGCTTAATGAATATTGTTGTTTTATAAATAAGGAAACTCAGGTTACACAAAATTAGGAATCTGCTACTGGTCCCCAAACTCAGCCTGAAGTCGTTGGGTATCAAATTCAGGTCCAGTGACCACTAAAGGTATATTGTTTTCCTTACACAACCCTTTTTCGGTAAAACTTTCGTGCTCTCTTCTCCATGCCAACCTGCAGGGACTGACTACGGCTTTTAACTTTTTATTACGCAAGCTTCCTGACTACCTTTGATGCCAATTGAGAAAATGAGCAAGCAGAGGAAAGCTATTCATTCATTTTGTGTGCCTAACACAAAGCAAGGACCACGCAGAGAAAGAAGAATGCGTCAAATTAAATAATTAAAAGCAGTAAGTGGTATGGAAATAAAAAGTTATCTGAGAATGGCTGTCAGGTAACGCCTTCTATCATTACTTCCATGGTGTGCAGTGGGGAAGGGTGTGTCGTGAATATATCCACAGCTACTCAATTATTCTAATGTCCATAAGAAACGGGCACCAGTAAATTAATTTCAATATTCTTAACTTCATCTAGTTTAATTTTCTAGAGATTCAGATGCCTGAAAGGACTTTAAGTAGTAACTAACTATAAATATTTTGCTTTATGGAATTTGTTGATAAAATGGAACGCAAAGTTTTGAAAACAATACAGTGTTGGTAAATGGATATTGACCTACAGAAGCTAAAATAATTAAAATTCCAATGGATTTTTATGTAATGTATACATCAAGCTTGCAGGATTAATAGAGGTTACATTATCATTCAACCTTGCTTAGCTACTCACAATATTATTATTAAAAGTAAAAAAATATAGCAAGAATGAGCTGTTGGAGACCGACAGGAGTTTTCACAGGTTTGCACACACTGAGGTGCGAGGGTCTATTAGAGGAGAGTTGGACGCGTCCCCTCTAACGGCTGCCAAGTCTCTTCTGGAGTCATCGTTTTGCTTCATTATTAAGACAGGATACTCCCTTCCCCAACGGGTCAAAACAGACCCTCTGCACAAGGGACCAGGACCGAAGTGTCTTAATAAGGAAGCAGAACTGAACTTGCTTCAGGGCAGAGAACTCCCGAAAGTCACATAAACCTTCCAGGAATCCACCAGGTTAGCCAAAAGCAACAACGCTGTGAAGCTGGAGGAAAAGCAAGAGGAAAAAATAAAAAGGAAAAAATCCACATGCAACTCAAGGATTGCTCTACGAAATCCCCGGCCGCCTCAGATTGGCAGCTCTAGCACAGCAAGACTTAAGAGCAAAGCTCTCAGAAGCTTTCGTCCTCAGCTGGGAACCTGGCATTTTAAAGTCCAAGCTAAGCCTCAGAATATTCTAGAAAACACAGGTGGGTATTGTTGACTGACTATCAGGATTCATTCAGTGTCTTCTAGAATTCATAAACTGCCTGTAGGTCAGTTGCTGGACTTTCAAACAAACCTGTTTGTTTTTTCACCTCCTTTGTCAGCGTATTTTATGTGCAACCTGTGGCAAGGCAGGTGACTTGAAGCTATGGTGGCATTAATTGTTGGAGATGAAACCATTTCCCATTTCCCAAGAGCCACCAGAGAAAAAAACTAAAAATTTATGCAACACAATATAGTGACCTATAATATATATAATAGCAGTCATCATGATAAATAATAACTTATTGATATTAAAATTGGAGATCCTGAATTGAGGTAAGAAATAAAATGGAGCAAATTTTCCATAGGAAAAGTGCTGTGGTGTCTGTCTGTCTTTCTCTCTCTCTCTCTCTCTTTAAATTTAGGGTCTTTGGAGTTTTTGTATATGGTCATGGAAACATAGATGCCAGTGTATCAATATACAGTGTGTAACCATCCATTTGTTCTAATTAATAAAGCATATTTGGTAAGGAAAAATATAATTTATATAGCAGGGGCTATTTTACCCTCCACCCAATGAGTAAATATACAAACTACCTCAGAGTGCTCAGTCCAAAGCAGGGCAGACATGGCTTTGTCAAAAAGACAGAATGAGTAGACAAATGATTCAGTGAAGTGCATGCCTGGCACCCAGCGTGACTCCTTCTTCTCGGAGTGCCAAGACCTGGTGGCAGCAGGCCGTGCCAGAGCTGAGGGGTGCAGCCTCCCACTTCCTCTGTTGCCCAAGAGAAAACAGCATCTGCCCCAACACCACGTGAAAATCTGCCTGTGCTGGACCCGAGGAGGAAAGATGCGTCTGAAGAACGCTCTGTACACAAAACCTTGTATGCTGAGCATATTTTAATGTTTATGTAACCAAACATTTAAATGAGGGAGACAGAACAACTGCGTAAGTCATGGTGGCGCTCATGAAGTGAGGTGCTGGTGGGCCAAATTAAAAGGCTCAAGTAAAACTAATAAAACTGAATTCTCAAAATGCAAATTCGCTTGGAATAAGTTTGTGTGAAGGAAGCCACGACACAGCATCCTACAGGTGCTAGTGTAACAACCCCCAAGATAAAGCAAGAATAATATGCAGTACCATGAGTAGGTGACATTTGTGTTCAAGAATGAACATTAAACATGTTATACATACATACATACTATATTTCTGAAAAGATGCACAAGACATTTATTATTTTTAATCTTTCTCCCTGGAATGGGTGCCCTATGAAGGCCTACCTCAGAGTCTTTGTTCTTTTTTGCATCTCCAAATGCCAGCATACGCCTGGCATTAAAGAGACACTCAGCAAGCATTTGCTAAATAAATTACTGAACTAATAGTAACATTGGCTGCCTCCAGAAGGAGGAGCTGGATAACCCTGGATGGAGGGCAACAGACTTAATTTCCACTGCGCATTCTTTCGTACTATATTTCTAAATTGTGAAAATAATTTTTAAACTGTGATTAATTTCTCCAGTAGGTTGCTTTTTCATCTCTGGCACTTTAACAGGGTACTGAGAAAATATAGCATAGGTACCAGTAGGCTTAGTATGAGTACTGTACATGCTGTTAATATAAAGCCTCAAAATAAATAAAAATAATGACTTGCTTTAAAAGAAAAAAACAAAGAGTAAACAGTGCTTAAAGAAGTCAGCAGCACCAAGTGTGAGGTCTAAGGTGAAATGATAGTTGGTATTAAAATAAACCTGAAACATCATCCATGAAACTTGAGCAAAGTAGGCAAGAAAAATAGTGATGTTATTATGCATTTAATAAAAGCTTCATTGGCTTGGTACATGAGAAGTATTTGTGCTGCTTGCATTTACCTGTATGATGTACCACCTGCCTCCAAGTGGTCAGTAACCACGTAGTAACCAGGTAGTAACCAGGTAGTAACCAGTAGGCAGTAACCATCCTCACACACGATCCAGACAGTGTGCCGGGCACTAGGAACGCAGCAAGTGTCCCAAGAGGATCGCAGGGTGTTCTCATGTGAACCAAAGGAGGCACAAAGCAATCGCCACAGCCAACAAGGACAGCAGTCAAAGCAAATAAAAGCCAGACTGTGTCAGCGTACTGCCAAACTTCACTTCTCTCAATTCAAATTAGAAGGACAGAACGATGAAAGTATTGAAAAATAGCTTCCATGATGAATTGGAAATAAATATTCCTGGAGTCATACAGCACAATTGGAAACAAATATTCCTGTGGTAACTTGACTCAGGATAATCCTTAGTTTTCCCTTTATATTGAATCATTTTTCACATTGAAATATGATTATTTACAAAGATAACTTGCATTATTGTATCTTTGCAATGCAAAATGAATATGTTCATGGTGGGGAGCCCATACTTAGCCCTAGAGCATCCTGAGTCTCTTTGACTTCTGCTTCCTCTCCCCATCCCCTCTCCTCCCTCCACCCTTGTATCTTAATCACTTCACACTGATTTGCAGATAATACCGAGTATGGTGAGGAGCAGGACAGGCAGGTGGCTCCCTGTGGCTGTGCCCATGTGTTCCTCTATTGTCTCAAAGTTCTGGACCTAACTGTTACTCTCTTTTAATGGTAGGAAGGGGTAATATATTTCATGCCTCAAAAGTGGTTACAAAAATATTTCTTTCAACCATATTTTGGATAGAAATGGTGCAGGGTTGTTTATATATCTGTGTATACTCCACACTGTTTTCCTCGTATCCCTTATTCTTTCCCTTCCCTTCTGCCTCCACCTCCTCCTTCTCCTTCTTCTTTTTTGTACCACTAGAGACTGAACTCAAGGTCTTCTCCGGGAGCCACATGGCCCCTCAGTCTTTTTTAGTATTGTAAGTTTGAGACAGAGCATCACTAAATCACCAAGTCTCCCATACTGGACTGGAACTCGAGCTGTTCCTTGTCCAGACTCCCAGAGTGCTGGAGTGACAGTCATGCACCACAAAGCTTGGCTTCATGTTGCTTAATAATTTAGTACTTATCCTGCCCACTATTTAACCCATCATCTTACTATGCTTGTCCTATACAAATGTAGAGAATGAGAATATTTTCAAACGCAGCATGAGCGATATCTTCCTTCAATGGCAGATCTTCTGGCACTTGTCTTTACCTTGCCAAGAATTTAAAGAAAAGCCAGTCGCCTGCCCCCTTTGCTGATGTCAGTCACCATATGATGAACGCGTGAGGAGGCTTCCAACGTGTAAACATAGAAGTTCTAATTGAACATAAAGTATAAGGGGAATGAGACAGCAACATTAAGTGAGAAGACAACTTCTGAAGTAAGGCAAAGAGATGCAAGCATTGTCAGTGCATCATCAGTTCGGGTCATTAACAAAGCAGAAGCATCATTTCTCCCTAACGCAGCTGTTCAGCCCACCATACAGTGGTCTGAAGGAAAGACGCGCTTCATCTTCCTTAGAACCAATACCCAAGTGTTCCTGCCCTTTGTCAGCAGCTTCTTTCTTCTTGCACGCCTCTTGCTTGTGCATACTTGCACCTACAGTCACAGAAACCATGTGCAGTCTTTGTCGGAAGTCCGTCCTCAGATGGCGATGGGCAGCGCCCTGAGACCTTACCGGCAGATCAGGCTGCGGTAAGGACTGCAGCCTCTTTTAGAGCACAGCCTCTTGCTTCCTGATGAAAGCAGGTAGCTCTGCTGTCTCTCTCAACTCAGCCTGCCTTTTCGTCTCCAGCTGTCATTATAGAGTTTCCATGTGTTGGGTTTCTAGCTATGGATCCCTCCTTTGCTGAAGTGGACGCGTGCAATTGCCTCTTCTTGTAAAAGCCGTGATTAATCTTGCACTTCTTCATATTGGCCTCCAAACCATGCTGAAAATGATCCTCTGCTTCCTCTTGAATCCGAGCTAAGCGCATGAATCACAGAAACTGCTAGAGACCGAGGCTATAAACATTTGCTTGCCAATGAGCAAACTCATTAAAAGACATGGCGTTATGCAGAGATTTTGTAAAACATATGCGGAACAGAATGGTAAAGAAAAGCTGATTCAATTTGACATTCAAAATCATTTCAGTAGAAAAGATAAAAAGAGCACATGAAGTGCCAAAATGACTTTTTGACACCATTCTTCACATGCATCCTAAGTTGGATCCAACGTAAAGTAGAAAAATATGCAAAAAACTTAAAATCAGTAACATAACTAAGGGAAGCGTGGTGCCTTGAATGCAGAGAGCACTTCCTAGCTAGAAAGAACTGCAGTAACAATCTGCACCACCTCGAAAGACCTGGGCCAAGGAAGGTCACATCCTAGCATACACAGCTAATCCAGGAGAGGACCAAGACCTGGTTCTCATTCTGCATAGTGCTCTCTCCCACTTCAAGTAACTGGTAACAGACAGTGAGCCCTTGACTCGATGTAGGATAAGGACTGTGTACACATGGTTCCCATCCTGTTCTCTTTCTCCCTCCTGTCCACTAGCTTAGCTCAGTTTGGCCATTTCTTGTTTTTGACCAGAAGACGAAGAGGCAAAGGAAGGCCACCTGTACTGCAGTGTTGAGCTTGAAACTCACAAATGCAGGTTCCACAATCCTGGAAAAGACCAATGATAGGAGAGGATGGTGCAACGGCCAGACAGAACTAGGTCCCATTCCACTTGCCCCGTCAACCAAATTACTTAACTGATTCCCAGTTTACATCTTAAGTGGCTTACACATGAAACCATCACCTTTTAAGAAGAGAAAAGGAAAACACTATACATTAGCAAAACAGGCAAATATCACAAGCAAATAAACCATGACCTGGACTAAGTTTCCACTCAACAAACCAACAATGCTGTGTTCAGGACCAGCAAGTACAGAATCACAGAGAGCTACGGGGAAGATATTTGCAGATTTTAAGGCTGTCTGTCTGTTGAATTCAGCAGTTGTCTTGTGGAATAGAAAGCAGGCAAATTATGTCCAAGAATTCTCCCTGGAGAGCAGCAATGGACACTTCTCATTCTGAAGCATTTTCGAGCTCTCCTGCAAGGTTGTGTGCCAAAGTGCAGCTGAGAGCAGGCAGCTCTCCACACGGGATTGTAATTTTTAGGCCATCATTTGTCATCCTCGGGTCACTCTGTGCACAAAAGAGAAGAGAGAACATGTCATTCATCCAGCCCATTGTGCCAGCAACGTAACTGACTGGTGTAGAGTATAGGAATGTGTCTTGCATCTCATGCATGAGTTGGGAATGACCACTATTGATGCTCAGGAAGATGGTATGATTCAGCAAGGGGACCAGAGGAAAGCAGGATGCAATGTGTATATACCCCAATATTCCATAGAGAACATATTCATAACTGTAGCAAACATATGCTAATAATTAAAAAAATAAAACTCCTATAGGCATAATTAAAATCACAGCAAATCTTTCAAAATACTTAATCAAAAGCTCAGACATTATTTATTTTTCAACTTGCTGATGCTGAAATTTATGTAGTGGCACACTACACTTGTGTCAAGAACAGTTTTTTATTTTAATCCATTTAAAATAATTTTAAAACTAATTTTGTAAAAATCTAAATATTTTCTAGAAAATTTGCCATATTTTCCTTGTTCTCTCCTTTGCTTTCCTCCTTTCTCTGCACTGTGCCTTGCTAAAGATGCACTAAGGACAGAATGTCCTGTCGCTTTGTGTCACGTTAGAATCAAGGGCTACACTGAGCCGTTTTCATGTTTGTTTGCTTTTGCTGCCTAGTTTTCTTTTCAAGACAAACCCCTCTGCCTGGCATGGTGGCACATGCCTGTAATCCTAGCTGAGGCAGGCTGGGGTGGGAGGTTCGCTGAGAGTTTGAGGCCAGCCTGGGCTACATCGTGAGTTTGAAGTTAGCCTGAGCTACACAGAGAGACCCTGTCTCAAAATAAATAAATAAATAAAAATAAGAAGAGTAAGAAAAAGTCAAGACCAGTCCCTCCCATCCAGCACAGATGCCAATCACTTGTCCCTATCTCTCTCTCAGTGGGATCAGAAAGACATCTGAACAGTTCATCTCCTTAGGCTCAGTAGTTAGTGCAGAAGTGGTATTAAAACATACTGAATTACTTTGAATTTTAATATGAGAAACTGGTAAAAAAAGAAAATCCCTTTCCTACATTTAGAGACCTTAAACATGAAAGACCCACATTAGCATGGAGCTTGGAACCCATCTTTGCTGCAGTATGGCAAACACAGGATCAAGTGATAAGCTAACAGAAAGGAAAACAAAGGTAAGAGATAAGAAATAATAGAAATAGTTCCCTGAACACCAAGGCCCAGCCATACCTGAAGCTGACGCAGTACTGCAAATCCCAGGAATGGGAGGCAATGTATTTTGCCTTTTTTTTCCATTTTTGGTCAAACTCCTTGACTCACATTCAAGAGTGATAGATAATACATGGCATCAACAAAAGCACCGATAATGTGAAAAAATAAACTATCATAATTACATTTTTAAAATCTCATGTCATATCAGTTATTTGCATTGTGTGTCATTGATTTGGCTTAAAATATCAAATCACAGTATTTTTATGTCTTCAAGATAAAGTTATTTATTAAGGCAGACATCTCTGTTCAAGGGTATATTGAGATTTTAAAATGGGGAAATAATCCTATAATCCTACTATTTCCTAGTTTATTCCTTCAACAAACATTTATTAAACACCTACTCTGTGCTGTGCAGGTGTTCTAGGTTCATGGACCACAACTGAGCAAACTCCCCTCCTGCACAGGGCAGATAGTCACGTAGGACACATGGATGTCAGCCCAATGTGCTGGACTGTGGTACCTGGTAAGGAGAATAAAGCAGAATGAGAAGCTGGAAAGTTGATCTGTGTGAAGAGTGTGTAAACATTTTAATGTACATAGTGGGTATGTGTGCATATATTTATATATTTGTAAATGTTTGCATATGTTTGGGTTAGAGTTAAGGTCCAAAGATAGTCAGGGAAGATGTCATGAGACAGAAGGTTGCATTTTCGTTACTAAGAGGAATGGACTGGAGACATTCTGTGAGTGGGATTCATGAAATCAAGATGCTGCACTCACAAGGTCAAGAGTAGAACAATGAGAGAGGACCTGATGTAAAGTGGAAAACAAAAGTCATTCAAAGACAGGGAGCTGGAGTATTAGGGTGGTGTCCTGTGAGGTTATTACCACCAAAATTCCAGTAGTGTTGACCCCACCCAGGTAATGTTCACAGGGATGTACTTGTCTTTGCAAAAGGTGGGGTCTTTAATTTTGCAGAGACAGAGAACACACACCACTGTGATGTCTCAGAAAGATATTAGCAAGAACAAAGTATAGGATCTGAGCATCACATGAGAAATCCGAGGTATTGGAACAACCCTAGGCCCAGATGCCATGAGAAGTGGAAACAGTTCTCAGAGTAATTCAGTGAGTCTTATCTCCATCAGGGTTCACCAGGATGACGTGGAGGCTGCATGTGCTGGGGAAGTAGCAAATACTCATCTGGGCCAAGAGAAATGGATGTTGTGTATTTTGGGGCTGCACAGTGTTCTTATTTTTCCTTTCCATGTTTAGATAAAATTATAAAATAATCATACTGTAGCGCCTTCTCAGAATCTGAGTTTGATATTCCTTGAGATTGTTTATATCCAAGGAAAAAATAGTATGGCAACTTCCAGATGTCAGAGTTGTTCTTTTATTGGTTTAAAAAAAAATGTAGGTTTCTCAAGTGAAAATGGGAAGCGATCAGTAATCCAGAGCTAAAGCTTCAAGGAATAAGAGGAGGAGACTCAGAAGAGTAGATGATTACCAACAGAAATGAAGAGGAGGTGGAGTCTGACGCCACAAGACTCAAGATACTTGTCTGTTTTACTAGGAACAACAATGAGAAATGAGAAAGGTGCTTGATCCATCCATGCCTGGCTTGTTTTAGGGAGAAAAGTAGCCATGTAAGAGTGCTCTGGGAGAAACAGTCATGAGAGTTTTTTATGCATGGTTTTTGTTAGAGGAGACAACAAAACGAATAGTCACAGAAGAAAATGAGAATAAATGTGCAGACAAAGTCTTTTTTTTTTTTTTTAACCCATACTGGGGATCAAACTCATGACCACATGCTTGCAAGGCAGGGTTTATGTCACTGAGCTAAATCCCCAGACCAGGAGTCTTGCTAAGATGACTAGTGTGAGAACAAGGTTAGAAAGGGGTGATACAAAACCACAGCACTGGCCCTGCGGCAGAGTGAAAATCAAACTATGAATGTTAACGGTAAGGAGAGAGGGATACGGAAACGTCCAGAAGCACTCAAAACTTTGGGCTCTCCATGAGCCGTAAAGCCTGGGAAGAGATGCAGGGGCATCTTCAGGGCCTGGCAAGAGCTTGCCCTGCAAGGGGGCACCCCTCTTCTAAACACGTAAGTCCCCTTTCAAACTAGGGAGGCTTCTTTATTGTTAGGACACGGAAATGTTTTCATTACTGAGTTTATTTTAATGATCCATAAAAGCCAAGAATTTTCTGCATTAATTCCACGTACTAAGCTCATAACATATACATTTGTGAAAATGTCCTTGGATGCCTTTCCAGGTTTATCTCCTTATTCTTTACTGAGTAGGCTGTTTGAATCTTTGAATACTTTAGCATATATTCCAGTGTGCATTTATTTAAGTTAGGCACCTGGTCATTAAATGCAGGTAAAATATGACTACTAGAATCAGAGTACCTGACCAGATAATCTACTTACTCCAGTATTTAGCCACAATTTGATGGAAGCTAAGAAATAGAAAATCATCATGTTTCACCATGAGGGGCTTGGGTCAGGTTCTGTGGAATTGGATCCCAGTTTCTCCACTGACAAATTGGGTAACCACTCTTAGATTTCATCTTTACGTCCGTAAAACTGAGACCAAACTGTATCTAGATTATAGGTTACCTGAAGATCAAAAGAGCTAATATGTGTAAAGTATTCAGCACAGTGCCTTGATATGTGGACTTCGTGCAGTGTATATTAATTATGCTATGACTGCTGGATTATAACATCGGTATTTCATCATGAGTATTTTATCCATGATATAATGGTGTGGTGAGAAAAGCCATTGACTTATTCTTGAATGCCAGCTGAGGATACTAATGAATGCCTCTCGTAATGAATTTTCTCATTCAGAAAAAATGACCTGGGAACATTCCTAATGGAATGTGAGCCTAATAGAACATGGTTCTAATTTCTAGGGCCATGAAAGGACATGATGGGAAATGTGCAGGGATCACATGCATTTGCCGTATTAGAAATGTTAGCATTCTTTTTCCTTCCTCGAGGCTACAAATTGAGAAACTTTCCAAATGTCACTTTCTCTTTTTACGCTTGTTTATTCTTTAGCACAAAACACCAAGCATCTGATATAATTTTCACCTGTCAACAGATAAGTATGATTGAGCATGGGGTGATAGCCACTTCCTTTGATGAGAATCTTTGAGCATCAAACTTCTTTGGTGCTACAAATGTCCAAGTAGCAGAGTAATACGTACTGGGTTTTATATAACATTACTTAGTTTACCCTCTTAGTGACAGGAAAGGATATTTCTTAAGGGAAGAGCAGAATTTCTAAGACATCATTGGATGACCTCTGCCAGAAACTATGCCCCTTTCTACCCCTTCACTACAATCAGCTAATTTACTTCTTTCTGATTTCCAGTCATCCCTGTGACCCCAGAACAGCATTTCCAGATTCAAGGAACAGTCAGAATTCCAGGATCATTTCAGTTCTGGATGAATTGAAGAGAGATTTCTAAAGATTCACACTGTGAATCTGACATTCAAGAAAGCAATTATCTCACAATCAGTATTCTAGCCCTGGGGATGAACAGTAGTGACTGATGTTCTAAACAGGCATCAATCACTTGGAGTGGAGCCTCCTTAACCTACCTTCCAAGAAAGTCCTTGTCTATCTCAGGTGCACTTGCTATGTGACTTGCTTCCCAATGTGACTCCCATTTAATCAGTACTGCCCACGCATCTATTCCTATTGTAAGCTAATTCTTAAACATAATTTTGTCCCACCTCACACCATCCTGCGACTTGCCAATCAATATTGCCTAAGTGACTATACTTGCAATCTTACTAACTGATGATAGGTCTGTCC